TCTCCACCTCACTGCAGTGACCGCTGCCCTTGGGTTTCCACAGGAACAGCATCATCAGAGTAACTGGTAGGCTAGAGTCACACCAGTCCTCAACTGAGTTCTTAATTTTTCTTTTGCGTTTATTTGTTGTGTGTGTGTACAGTGTAGTGCATGCCACGGTAGGTGTTCCGGGACCAGAGGACAGCTCTCAGGAGTTGGTTCTCTCCTTTCACCGTGGGTTCTGAGGACTTGTGTCATCAGGCTTATTTTACCTGCTGAGTCAGCTCACCAGCCCTTGTGGTTTTTGTTTGTTTGGAGATAGCGTCTCACGTTCATATGGTCCACCTGGAAACTCATTCTGTAGCCCACGCTGATCTTCAACTTTTCTTTTCATTACCTGAGATAGGGTCTTACTATGTAACCCTGGCTGTTCTGAAACTCGCTGTATAGAGCAGGCTGGCCTTGCACTCACATGGATCTTCCTGCCTCTGCCTCTCAAGTGCTGGAAGTGAGGGCATGCGCCACCATACTCAACTCTTCCGGAACCTGACTCAGCCTCTTGATGCCTCCGGTTACCACACTTTACTAATTAGTGATTGGGGCTGAGATGGCTCAGGGGTTAAGAGCACTGGCCGTTCTTCCAGAGGACCCAGGTTTGATTTCCAGCACCTACCTGGTGGCTCACAACCATTTCTGTAACTCTAGTTCTGGGAGATAATGATGCCCTCTTCTGGCCTCCATGGGCACACAGGCATTCACCAAAGCAAAATACTCATATATATAAAGTTAAAAAAGAAAAAAAAAACTAAAAAAGAAATTAATGATTCCACTTTTGGGGAAAGCTTTAAAAAAGATTTTATTTTATTTTTTTTATCAGATTCTTATTTGTGTTTGTGCAGATTCTTCGTATGTGTTTTCCTGCATTTGTCCATGTGCACCATGTTCATGCAATGCCTGTGGAGGCCAGAAAGGGGCATCAGATACCTTGGAACTGGAGTTACAGAGGGTTGCAAGCCACTTGGTGCTGGGCACCAAACCTGCTTTCTTTGGGTGAGCAGCCGGTGCTCTTAACCACTCAATCATCTCTCCAGCACCTGATCTCCACCGCCCCCTTTGTCTTGGAGCTCAAATCTTACAGTTAAATGTTGCTTGTAGGGAAAATCTCACAGGTTGTGTTGCCTGATGCTTTTATTCCTTTGCACACAGGTAAAAATATCAGAGAAACACTTTTCAGATGCTGAACATAAAGGAAAATTAAACTTTCAATTTCAGGATCGCTCAATTACTGTGCATGATTGCCCAAAATACTTAATATCAGATAATAGTTTGTGTTTTTCTTATCTTTCATTTTTCTTCAAAAGAAAACCATCCTCTGAATAATGATAATTAATTTTAAAAACAGGACTACTGCTTTTTAAAATGATATACTAAAAAAGAAAGAGGTAATTGCATGTACACTAAGAGAGAATATAGTGTGTGTGTGTGTGTGTGTGTGTGTGTATGTATGTGTGGGGGGAGGTGTTTAGCAAGAGGCCTCTCTCTTATTCCTGTCTCTGGGCTCCCAGGACTTCAATCCGGAGGCATTTATAAGCCTCCCTTACTTTTCTTTTCTTGATGTTTTGAGACAAGATCTGACTATGTATCCCAGGCTGGCCTGGGCCTCTCAATCCTCTTGCCTCAGCTTCCTGAGAACTCGGATTACAGGTGTGAGCCACCATCCGGACTTCCCTCTGCTAAAAAAAAAAAAAAAAAAAAAAAAAAAAAAAAAAAAGGTTGCATCTAGTTCTTTTGCACCTGGGTTTTTTTCATGTTGCCATATGTCTTGGCAATTGTTCGCCGTCAGTCAGTGGGAGCAGCCTCGTACATCTTCTGTGTGTGCAGCCTGCCCGAGTGCTTGGGATGGCAGAGGCACATACTACAGCGAGGACAGGGTGGCTGGAGAGCCTCCAGATGTGTGCATGTTATACCAACCTCCCACTCTGCTTCCTAATGCATTTGTGTCGATCATAATATAAAATCATTTTTAAAAACAGGTGCTTTAGGCAAGTGTGCCTCACTTACCCTGAGACTTGGCCCCTGTAGACAGAAATACCCCTTTAAAAGAAAAAGGAAAAGTCTTGGGATAATGTAACTACACCATTTTTCTTTTACTCCTTCTCTCCAAACAATCCCACTGTACCGACCCTTTCTCCCTTTCTCTTTCAAATTCATGGCCTCTTTTTCATTAAGTGTGTGTGTGTGTGTGTGTGTGTGTGTGTGTGTGTGTGTGTGAATATATATATATTCCTAAATACCAAAATACAACCTGCTCAGTCTGTATAGTGTTACTTGTATGTATATATTTTTAGGGCTGACAGTTTGGTATTGGATAACTATTTGGTGGTCTCTTCCTTGGGGAAGACTGTTTCTCCCTCACTCAGCATTCCGTAATCGCCTGTAGTTCTTTGTTTAGAGTCGAGGCCTCAGGAGATTTCCCGTCTGTATTGCATATCTGTTGGTGTCTTTGTTCAGGTCAAAGTTAGGCAGCCATATTGATGAGACATCATGGGTGTAACTTTGGACAACTCCCTGGTCCTCTGGTTCTCACAATCTTTCTGCTCTCTCTTCCACAGTGATCCCTGAGTCTCAGCTTCCGGAGTTGGGTTTTAGATGCACCCATGAGGACTAGGCTCCGCGACACTGCATTTTGATTGGTTGTGGTTTTCTGTAATGGTCTCCATCTATAGCAAAGAGAAGTTTCTTTGATGACGGGTGAGGACAGCACTTATCTGGCTAGACCCCGGATAAGGATGTGCAGGATCTGGCTGAACAAAGCCTTTTAGGAAGCATGGGCATACCACATGTGGGGTATCCCAGGGATGCTGGGAAGACAGCAGGGCAGGGATTATTAGCCCTTCCAGATGAGATGCCTCACAATTGTTTGCCTCTGAGGAGACAGAAAAAGAAGGCAGGAAGGAGACGTGTTAGGGGTTATGGGAGGAGTGGAGGACTGGGTTGGAAATGGATATGACCAAGATACAGCATTAATGTATGAATTATCCAAGATACGGTAGGGGGAGAGAGGAGGAGAGAAGAGCGGGGAGGAGAAGCTGCTGTGGCAGGACTCACACGGAAGGACGCAGGCGTTCTTCATTTGGCCAGTGTGGGAGGGAAGACCTGGAAAATGCAGGCTTCCCTCATGTGGCAGGAAACGGCACCAATATTGTGTCATCCCCCAAACTAGCACAATACTGAAGTTATTGGGAGAACAATCCACATCTGTTACAGGCTGAGACACAAGCCCTGAGGTTCATCCTAACCTCCAGAGTCTCAGGATGGATTGTATTTGGACGCCGGGTTTTGAAAGGAAAAAACGTTGAGGTTAAACGAAACCTTTAGGTTGGGTCCTCTTCCATCTCATCTGTGTCCCTGTAAGGAGAGAAGAGGCGCATGAATGTGTGCAGAGGTAGGTTACCTAAATGGGCATAGCTAACAGGCGGCCATTTGCCAGCCCAAAAGAGAGACCGCAGGGCTGGGGGGATGGCTGAGTGGTTAAGAGTACTTGTTGCTCTTAGAGAGGACCTTGGTTCGATTCTCAGTGCCCAAATGTTGGCTCACAGCCATCTGTAACTCCAGTTCTAGGGGATCTGACACCTTCTTCTGCTCTCCATGAGCACCAGGCATGCGTGCATGTGGTGCACAGATATACACACAGGCAAAACACTCATACATGTAAAATGAACAAAGCTTTGGAGATGGGGAGGGCTCAGAAGAAAACGAATGTGCTGATACACCGATCTTTGATTCCCAGGCTTCAGGAAGTGGGAACAAATTTCTGTTGAGGCACTCAGTCTGTGGTGTTATGGATGGCAGCCAGAGCAAACAGATATATCCATCTAAGGGTGACCTTAGATGGCGACCTTCTACATGGATTTCCTGCTCCCACAGTACACTGAGTCCTTTGCATATTGCTGGACTGGGCATTCATGTCATGCGTGCATTCATTCAATCATTCTTGCACACTGTCATGTCCTGGATCAGCCCAAGCACACAGTGGTGACAAACATCCTTCTATCAGACGGTGTTGTGGAGCAACTTTCCCGGACTAAAATATTTCTGAAGGGAGGAAGGAGCAGGCTCAAGAGACTTAACAGGTTCACAGGGTCCCTCCCCCGGGGCTAAACAAGGGCTGTGAGAAGAGAAGAGGAGGAGGAACTGGGGCAGCTTCTCCAACCAGACCAGCCGAGCTGCCTCTAAGTTGTCTTGGGCTGGGGTGGGTGATGCCTCTGAGTCATCTGTGCTCCCGTAAGTAACCCCTCCCCCACCCACACTCCCGTGCAGGTTGGCCTTCCGTAGAATCCTCATTTGTTCTGCCCTTGGTCACCTATCTGGGGTGAATTGACGTTTGTGTTGTGTCTCCCCAGGAAAAGTCTCTCAACATGGAGGTATTGTCTCATGTCCCACCTTCAAACTGAGCTGTACCCTCATGTCCTTTCTGAGTGAGATTTACAAATATTCACCAGAAAAAGAGGAGATGGGAGAGACATTAAAAATTAATTAATGGCATGAAACAGAATTTATAGATTGTTTTTCCTGCTTTTAAACAGAGTCTTCCTTGCAGAGTGCCTTGTTAAATAGGGGTGCTGGAGGAGGAGTCAAGACTGGGACCGGCAGCATGCTTCCTTTCATTATGAGTGTGGCTCCCAGCACCCAGCACAGCCAATTTGGAGGCTCGAAGCTCTGATGGCGCTCAGAGCTATTGATTTCCTGCATGTGTGCTTCCACAGACTTCCTCAATACAGAGAAGTGCTCAGATTCTCCCAGCACCGTTTGGATCATTCTGCCTCTTGGCAGAGAGAGCGAGGGGTAAGACTGAATAGGTCAGCGTGTGCAGGGGCTAGCCTCTTCCACTCAGCCACTCCCAGCCCAGCTTCCCCAGACTCTGTCCACTACTGGGTGCCGGAAAGAGCTAGAAGGGAGCCTTACTGGACATCCCAGCCCTAACTCACCTGCATGGCCAGCTCTGCCCTGGAAATGTACACGCTGGAGCCTTCCAGGCAAGCCTGTGTGGCTCACTGCAGAAACCCACCGCTAACGTGCCTTTCACGCTCCTTAATTCCCTCCAGAACTTTGCCCATTGTGGCAAACACAGAAAGAGCGTTCTTCCCAGGGAGAGACATTCATCACAGCCTTCCCAGCCCCTTCAGCACAAGAGTCACATCTATTGTCAGTGGGAAGAGAGAGCGCCAACAGGTATTTTTAAAGAGCCTCTACCCACCAGAGGATCGAGAGGAAGATATCCCCTCTGAGCATTTAGTCACACATATCAGAGGAGACAAGAGTCTCAATCTTCATTTGCATGGCACAGGCATTAGATGTGGTCCAGTTACACCGAGCTCTGCTTGACGAGGCAGAGCTACCAGCACTTTTCAAGCCTTGACGGAGACAGAGAGAAAATGCAGCCAGGCAAACAATACATCACCCTGCCAAGGCATTTTCCATTTTTAAAAGGACAGAACAATTTTACATTATTTTTGGAGCCTCTTTGCAGCAAATATCCCTTGACATTTGTTCTAGTGCCCTGGCCAGCCTGTCTGAAAGTCTTAGCAGGTTCCAGCCCACAGCTCCTGTGTGTCACCAGGGACTACCTCTGCCTTGGACTCTTCCAGACATAGAAGAAGGGCAAGTAGCTTTCTCCTCCTCCCCTTCCTCCTCCTTTCCCTCCTCCTTTTCCTCTTCCTCCTCCTCCTCTTCTTCCTTTCTTCTTTTTGCACAGGCTGATTGAACTCGACTATGCAGAAGTGGCCAATTGAAACGCCACCCTGGTGGAAAGAACATGGTGTTTTGGGACACCTGAAGTTCCTGAGTGGATGATAACTGGCACTCAAGGCCCACAGTCACCAGAACGCACACAAAGAGTCGGTTGCAGGTAAGTGTTTAGGAACCCTGAGGGATGCCTGGTAGAAGATAAAGAGTTGTACTCACACAGAACAGTCTGGGCTCACAGGGAAGAGGCAAACAACTATTTCTGGAAGACACTGGCATCAACCACTTCTGATTAGGTTGAAAGAGTCTTCTGAGTCTGAAGAATCCAAATGTAGGTATTTAGTGAAACTCCCCAAACTGCTCGTATGTGCATGCACGGTCATGTTTAAGCACATGGGCGCACATGCATGGAGAGGACAGATGTTGACACTGTCTGTCCTCCTCGACTGCTCTCCACCGTATGTATGTATTTATTTTGGGTTTTTCGAGACAGGGTTTCTCTGTGTAACAGTCCTGGCTGTCCTGGAACTTGCTCTGTAGACCAGGCTGGCCTTGAACTCACAGAGATCCTCCTGCCTCTGCCTCCCAAGTGCTGGGATTAAAGGTGTATGCCACCACTGCCTGGCCTCCATCTTATGTTTTGAGGCAGGGTCACTCACTGAACCTCTAGGCTTGCTAATTTTCGCTAGTCTGGCTGGCAGGCAAGCCCCAGGGATCCTCCTGTTCCATCACCCCTCCCCCTGCACCTAGGCACACCAGCGTTTGGGTTATATTCGTGCAGTGTGGCACCCAGCTTTTATGTGGGTGCTGGGGGTCGAACTCAGGTCCTCACACTTGCACAGCAAGCACGCTTACCCACTGCATCCTCTCCCGAGGCCCAAACTGGTTTCTAAGGTGATCTATACGTGGTCCCCTCACCCCTCATCATCCAGCGGGAGGTGTTTTGTTCTGAGGCGGGTGGTCGATATCATTGTTTCTACTGCCCAGTCCAGGTTGTCCTGAAACATCTCAGAAACTGGCTGATTAATCCTAGCCTGCCCTAGGAAATGTTAGTCGTCGGGCAAAAAGAAATCACCCCACCCGAGGCAAAAGAGCAAATGACTTTATCTGTAGGTGATTATGTCTGACAAGATGAAAAAGAAGGATCCTTTGTCACCGGAGAAAGCTGGGCTTCAAGGGCTCTTTGCCCACTTCGTAAGGCTGCGCTTCACACAGTGTGGACTAAGGAAACAGTCGCAGCCTGCTCTCTGCCCTCACAGATCAAGGGCAGAGAAACAAAACTTCATTTTCCCCATGTTTACAGAGGGGAAGCTCTGCAAATCCGAGAGAGAGAGCGGAGTTCCAGGTCTGCTTGGAGCGTGCTTCCATTCACAAGCAAATTCTCTTTGAAGAAACCTGTTTTTGAATTGCTGTTTACTACTGAAATTTTAATTTTCCCTTTTAGCATTGTCACGCACGTGGTCTGCTGCTTTGTGGGTGGCGTAGCAAGGCAGATGGGAGCCTCTGCTAATGAAAAAGGAGCGTCGGCTTTCATTCTAGAGGGTGAAAAGATTAGGGGCGTCGTAATTACCCTTCTGATTCCATGTTGCTCTCATACCCACGCTCACGGTGTGCAGAGAACTTGAAAGAACACGGCGCTGCCACAAAAACAAACTGTTTTGACTTCCTCTGAGAATCTGATTTTTTTTTTTTTTGGCTGATGTTTTTCTCCTTTTGCTGTTAAAAAATTTAACCCCTTCTAAACTCCTTTAATGTATTAAGTAGTCTTCTCTTACAAATCTTCATGACTAATTCCCTTGCCTCCTTCGATTCTGTGCTCAAATGTAAATTTATTTTTAAAATACAAATTATTAAAAAGTGTATGTATTTAGGAAGTACTAGGTGTTATTTCTTGGTAGGTATATATGGTATAAGATGCCAATTTATTTTCCTTTCTTTTTTCTGAGACAGGGTTTCTCTGTGTAATAGTCCTGGCTGTTCTGGAACTAGCTCTGTAGACCAGACTGACCTTGAACTCAAGAGATCCGTCTGCCTCTGCCTCTGGAATTAAAGGCATGTGCCACCACTGCCCGGCTAAGATGCCAATTTCTTAATCACGGCTACACTGGTCATTTCTCTTTATAGTGAGACTGTACCCTTTTGTGTATATGTGTGTATGTGTGGTGTTCACATGTGTATGCATTTTTAAATGTGTGTGGGCACACATGGGTGTGTGAGTCCATGGAAACTGATATTGGGTGTCTTCCTCTCTGGCTCCCCATCTTTGTCAGTGAGGCAGGGCCTCTCACTAGAGATCATAACAACCTGATTCAGCTTGTGTAAGCTGTTGTTGGAGGGCTTCTCTCCAGGTTCCCCAAGCCCCGCAGTCCCACAATCCACATATAAAATAATCACTCAGACGCTTATATCACTTATAAACTGTATGGC